GTAATCAATATAAAATCTTTTCTTTCTATTCTTTTTAAAAATTATAATAATAGTGAAGTCCAAGAATTAGTTAATAATTAAATAATATTTACTTCTAATATTCTTTGAATTTCTTCTAATATGAATAATTAATCTGAAAGAGTAGTTCTATAAGATTATTATTTAATAGATGATTCATTTTTAGTATATATTTCATATTGAATTATATTACTTTTATCAAGTTAATGTAATTCAGTTACAAAAATATTAGCATTATCTTCTAGTAATTAAGTAAGAAGTCATTCTTGTTCAGCAATTAATTTTTATTATTTAATAACTTTTTCTTCTTGTTTTTATTTCAAGAAATAAGTATAAGTTTCTTGATAATTAGTAATTCAAATCCAGCTATTTCTTGACTAGACTATTTTAGTTCTTCTTATATGAAAACTGATTTAAGTTATTTAATAGATGTGAGTTATAAAAATACTAATTAAGTAATTTTCTGATCAGATTCAATAATATAATCATCTTTTAAGTCATTTCAAATAATGATACTGATATTTCCAGTATATTCAGAGTTAATAGTTCTATCTTTAATATTAATTTCTTGTCTGATAAGAGATAAGCAAGATATTACTTGATATATAATTTCTACAAGAATTTCTATAATAATATAGATATTTACTAGTATAACTCAGTATAATAGAATTCTGATTGCTTCTTTTTCTGTATAATAAATATCATATTCAGTATCAGTAAGATATATTTTTTTTGATAACTTTCCTTTATCTTGATTATTATAAATCTTAATTATATAATAGTTATTATTTTATTTCACAGAAGTATCTTTTAAATAATTATTAAATTATTATAAAAGTTCATTCAGTACTTGATAAATAATATTGAATTTTTCTTGTATTTTATTCAATTCAAGTTGAAAAGATTAAGTTGAAATAGGAGTAAAGTTAATTTCTTCAATTATTTTATTAATTACTATTTCTTCTAAAATCAGTTTCAATATTATAGAATATTTTTCTTTATTTACTTTAACTAGAGATTCAGATTATAGACAATTATTATATTTATCATTATTATAGGAAATTAGATATTCTTGATAGAATTTTACATTAATATAATTCAAGTAAGCCAGTTATTATTTTTAATTAGAACTGAGTTATTAATAGATATATTGAAATATCTCAGTAATAGAGGCTTTTACAGAATCCTTATAAATAATTTTATAAATAAAGTCATCTTTATATATAAAGTGAAATAAAATTACTTTACTAATTTTATTATATTCTTTATAGATTTTTAATAATATTTCTTATTCTCTGAGCTTATTAATTATTCTGATATTTTTTCTTTATACTTCATGATTAAATTAATAAATATATAAGTACAGAAGTATTTCTTTTTATAACTTCTAGTAATAAATATTTTTCTAGACTCATTATATTTTTATATTATGAGCAAACAGAAAAATTCAATTATTTTTCTCTAATATAATTATTATAAGCAGTTATCTTTTCTTTATTCATTTTAAAATATATTTCAGTATAATATTTGTCTACATATTTTTCATATTCTCAATATTTTTTAATCTGAGAATTAGAATAAATTTATTATAAAGCAGATTGATATGAATTAAAATTTTATTTTACTCTTTTATTGACAAAGAATTCTTGTTTAACTTTATCAGTTCAGTCTTTATTTATTTTGAATTCAGTATGGAAGAATTTATGAATTTTAATTATTATCCAGTTAACAAGATTATTATAGTATCAGTAATATTAATGATTAGGTATAAAAAAATTTCTATAATATCAATATTAGCTATTTGATTCTTACCAGTCAAATGACCATTAGTTATTCCAATTATATTTTTGAGTAAACTTTTTATCAAGTTATTTGAAATCTTTCCACATATATTTCTTCTATCTAATTTTGATTCCTTCTTAATAGGCTTATACTTCATAAATTCTCTTAATACTTTAAATAATTTGAAATAGTATTTCTTTAAAGTTAACATTTCTTAAACTTTGATTTAGAGTTTTAATAGAAGTTCAAACTTCTTTAATAATGATTTTAATACTATTATCATTTTGAAATTCTTGTTATCTAAGAGTTATAGTATTCTAGTCATTATATTATTATATGAGAAAAGTTTTCTTTTTCAAGTACTATTTCTCAAATTCATTTTTAGAGTCTTCTTTTAATTTATCTTTTTCAGAACTTGTTTTATCAAATATTAATTCTTCTCTATCATTATAAATAAACTTAATTAGTACTTTTTCTTTTTATTTGTTATATTTAAATATGAACAATCCTTTTCTAATATTAATATTGACTTTGATTTTATTCAAAAAATCTATTTTCACAATTACTAAGTATATTTTGACTTTATTAATATCTACTTTAATAGGAATTATAATTCTATTAATATTCAAAAGTAGATTATCAATAGCTTCAAGAAATTATTTAAATAATTTATTTATGTCAGATATAGAGATATTTGAATTGCATTGTATTTTTAATTATATATTTTTAATAAAATTATATTTAGTAACATATCCAGAGATACTAGTATTAATAATTAATTAATAATATTCTTTCCAACTTTGATTTCATATCAGACAGATATAGTTCTAAGTTTTTGTTTAAGTAATATTCTTCTTTTTCTTTTTGACTTAAGTATTATAACTTGATATATTTCTTTTAATAACTGGATTTTTTGTAAAGATGAGATCTAAATAAGTTAAATAATAGTTATATTTGCTTTTTGTTAAGCTAAATCTTCTAGAATATTATATAATTCAGTTCTAATAGTAAGTATAGATAAGTTAATTTGCTTTTCTTTTTGTAAATAGTCTTTTTGACAAGTTCTTCTTCAAGTATTTTAGATAATTTAGCATTATTTATATCCTAATCAAGAATAATTTTAGGAGTATCTTCTTATTCTTCTTCTTTATTATCATTTGATTTCTCATTTTTATTAACTGCTTCTTTACAGAGTCAACCTACAGATCTAATTCTATAAAAAGTAGTTCTGGAATTTCTAAACTTTCTTTCAGTAGCCAAGTATTCATATATATCAAGTAATAAATTTACATTATCTAATTTAGCAGTTAATATTCAAATACTATCAGCAAGAGCTTATATTTGAGCTAATAATGCATTTTGATTATTATTGATATTTTGATTATTACTAGTATTTACCTAATTTAATAACATATTATTTTATTGCTAATTATTTTTATTTATTTTCTAGTAATTATTTCCAAAGTTATTTTGATTATTCTAGTATAATTATAATTGAAAACAATTAGGACAAATATGATCTGGCTTATCACAATTATAACAGATAGAAACTGGTTTCAGATTTTAATTATTAGATTTATAATCTGAATTATTTTTATTATAGTTGAATTCTTTATTGATTTCAATACTTTCTATTTGCTAGTTGAGATCTTGAAGTGTTATCAATATAGTATTCAATATTGAGTTATCTTAAGTTTGATTGATAATATCCTCAGATTAATATATCTGTATTTGCTTTCTCCATATTTTTAATAACTTATATTATATTTAGAAAAGTTCTATCTGCTAAGATCTAAATCCATTTTCTGATCTCTGATTTGAATTCTCTTCTATAAGTATGAATCTTGTATTTTTCTAAATATTTATTATTAGAATTTATTTTACAAAGAAGATTGATAAATTTATTTATATATTTTTCTATAGTACCAGTTTATTACAAGATTTTTAATTTTGTCATGTTATTAATCAATTTGTTCTTGGATCTGGAAGTAAGCTACAAATTAATGACTAAAACTATATAACTGATCTTAATTATTATTCCAAGTAGTTAGTTGGATGATATTATTTCTTTCTCTTTTATTATATCATAAGATAATAGTATCTTCTAGATATTTTTTAATCAATTATATTTTTCTAGTATTAGTAATACTATTAGCTTGTATAATAATATTAAAGTTTTTTAATTATTCTGTTAGATCTTGATTATTTTCTCTATATTTTCTAATAGAAATAATAATTTTTTTCATGAGCTAATTATTTTGTTTAGTCATTCTATTAGTAAAAGCTTTAAGAGTTGCAATGAGATTTTCTAAATTATTATTATTATTTTATTGATTTATTTAATTATCTTTTTCTTCTTCTGTCTGGTTGTTATCTTTGGAGTCAGTTTGAATATTTTCTTCTAAACCAGAATAATTATTGTTTTCTTCTAGCTCTGGAATTAATATATATTATACTAGAGAAATAAGAGTGTTTTCTGAATTTTTGGTTTCAGAATAATAACTATCAATATTACTATTATTAGATGAAATTCTTGTTTATATTTGTAAAGTAAAGTTTTAATAAATAAATCTTTGATAAAATTATTTAATTAAGTTAAATTATTCTTCTTGAGTATTGATGTAGTCAAAAATAAAGTTTACTAATTATACTATTCTTTGTCTTAGGTGAGTGATATATATCTCACTCAGATCAAGTTGAATTAATTCATAAAATAATAAATATGTGATTTGATTTACTAATATTACTCTAATACTTTCTGTAAATAAATGAAATATTTAAAATTGTAAAGAGAAATCTGACTGAAGGGAATGATAATAAGAGCAAAAGTATTGAGAGAATATTCTAACAGAGTAATTAGGAATTTGATGTGTCTCAAGATGATAATTAATGGATAGTCTAATAAAAGAATAATAATTGGTCATGAAAATTCAAGATACAAATATTTATTAGTTATAAATAAAAGAAAGAAAAGAGTATAAAAAGAAATATAAATAGGATTTAAATAATAAAAGATCTCTGAAAGATTTATCTTCACAGAGAGGTCACCAAAAATATATTATGGTGAATTGATAAGTAAATTTTCACTTGAATTTATCTTAATAATATAGAGTTGAAAGAGATTGAAATAATTAAAGGGTGAAGAGAGGGAAATTAGACTATGCTTTCAATAATAACAAAGATTTCACAAGTATAATTAGTCTAATCACTCCCGATCCTGGCCTTAGTCACAGACAAAATCTACCCTTATACACTTTACCTGTGAAAGAACAAAAATCTGATCTCAAGTATACTTCTAACCTCTGATTGAACCTCGGTTATGTTAATTTTGTTCGCCATCTAGATTTCCCTTTATTACTATAAGTACTTTTCGAGAAAGAATAAATTACCTGGACAGCTGCAATTATTTAATTGGAATCCTGATTGAAGTAGCAAAACTTGGACTTGACAATTCTCGAAAGTGACTTTTTGTATTATATGAATGCTACAGCGATTATTATAATTTTTACCTTGGCATGCAGAGAATTATGCTGACCTGTAATGCAGAACTTATGGATAAATTGGTGGACTCTTCGACAAAAACCAATTTCTTTAAAAGGGCGATATGCATTTGTTTGGTTAAACTATAGACACACCAAAACACGGATCAAAGCATCTAACCGATATGATGTCTTTTTTGACATAAAGAACCTAATCAATACGATAATTACAATGCCTTTACAAAGGTTTAAACTTATATTTTATTATTTTGAGAAATTGTACGCAAGTTTATTTCTACCTTTTTCTAATTGAAGGTCTGAGAGCCATTCTTATAATATATTTTTGTTAACTTTTCTATTAATTAAAGAAATACTACTTTAACGTTATATAATTCTTAGTAGATGATAAATATGCGACAACATAATAATAAAATTAAATCTAACTAAAGAAGGGATTATGCTGAACAATTACGTGACTAATTGAGCTAAAGAGCATGTGGCTGATTACATTAGTGAGTCACAAATGCAGCCGGTTGATCTTACCATAATTTCGGGAATTAGAGAATAATGATAACAGTTCTTTGGTTTGTTATTTTTTAAAATGTATACTAAAAAGTATAGAATTTTTTTGGTTTTATCAGTTTTATACTTTGCGACTGAGTTTTCGATAATCATCTTTTTCATTTTTGATATCGTGTATTGTAATTTTTTCCCTCAAAAATAGAAATTTGCTCATTATATAAATCATTTAATTATTTTTTTTTAGGGATCAAATATTCATTGAAAAATAGTTCTTCTTCAGAAATAAAGAATGATACATCAAGCCACCTCATTAGATAACAATTAATTAAGTTGTTCTACCTAAAGATCAAAGAATCAATAATTTTCATTGAAAAAACAAATGCTTTCTTCAGAAATAAAAGGATAAATCAAATCAAAAATCAAATCCAATACATAAAAGGAAATTTTATTGTTTGGATCGATGATATAAAAACTTAACAATAATATTATATGACACGAAACATATAAAGTGCGCAAGATTTTTTCCTCTGCCCTCGTATTGAATCTTAGAAAAAGAAAACCTCTTATTTTATCTACAAATAAATATATCCTTTAAAAATGCCCAATTCTTTTGTTAGTGCTAATTATGGCTATTCGAACTTTAATTTTAAGTAAATGCCCTTGCTAGTTGGCTCTTTCTATAGAGGAATTAACTAGCCAGCTATGAAAAAATATGGTGATTCCGAAAAATCACCATGATCACAAAACAGTAATTTTTCAAGAGATCATGAGACGCGTTTACATTAATTTAATCAGTATACTAAACAAAAGTTAAAGAAACAGCAAAGGAGTGTAGTTTAAAGTGACAAACTTTATTAAACTAAGAAAATTATTTTTTCAAAATGTTAGAGAGGATAGCTTGCAAGTATCATAAGAATTATATCCTAATTATAAGTATAAACCAAGAAATGTAAAAGATTCAAGTATTAAAAAAATGAATTTTTCGCGAGCAAAGAAATACTGTATGTTTTACTTCTTTACCCATGTCTAGCTCAAAAAGTAATAATCCACCTCCTTACGAAATTGTGGGTCATTCTCTTCGAATGATAAGACATTGTCAACTGTTATCACCACTTCAACGACCATTGATATACTCATCCGTCAAATAATACTGATATCAGAAATCTGATCGATGACACGTTTAGGAACGAAGATATTAATAATCAGATACCAACTGTCATCAAAATTTCAACAATCATTAATACCGATACTGGAAATTCTATCGATGAGACGTTTAATAAAATAGTTCTATTGGATCAGCTTTCTTCTTTATTTGGGAACGATGATATTAATAATCGAACATCAACCGTCATCAACGATCTTTGATAAAACTTATCCTTTTCGATCAATACTGATGCCAGAAATCTGATGGCTGACACGTTTGATGAAATAATTCATTGGATAAACTTCCTTTTTTGTTTAGTTATGATGATACTAATAATCGTGCATCAACTGTCATCATCATTTCAAAGACCATTGATAAAACGCATTCTTCTACGATCAATGCTGATGCTGGAAATTCGATCAATAATAGATTTAATTCATTAGATCAACTTCCCTCTTTATTTGGGACTTATTCGACGAATATTTTATCAGTGATTATTATAATTACAGTAACTTGATTAACAATGCTTCACCGTCAAATCAATTCATCACTAATAAACCAATAACATCGCGGATATCTTCATCCTCCTCGTTACAACAATTTATTTCAAGCTATGATTTGCTAAATATCGAGTTTAAAGATTTACCATATTGAAATGATCACTTTTATAGTGATAACGATAATATATAAGATTTAAAGCCTCATTAAATAAGATTATAGCTTTCCTTCGACAGCTGTAAATTAACTATTTCAAATTCATTAATTCGTTACTCGCTTCACCGTTTTATTATTCTCTCATCATGTATTTCGTATTCATTATATCTTTTGCCATGTATTTTGCTCTGCTCTCAACTTTATTTACGTTTTTTCTTCATGTATTTTATTTCGATCTCAGCTCTTTCATAATTTATTTTGTCTGTTAGTATTAGTTTATTATTTAGTTTTTTTTCTTTAGTTTCTTGTTCTTTTTCAGTTCTTAAGCCGTCATAAACGGCTAAATAGAGATCAGTATTGATTTAAACATTCTTCACAAAATTTAACCTGTCTGAACAGAATTTTTGTAAAACCGGATTAATTCGGATGCTCGATTTGAATAAAATAGTAATATTGGGATCAACTGACTTTGCACCAGTTGTTGTAATGTTACCATAGTAACATTAAATTTCGTAATTCCTTAATTTCCTTAACATGAAAATCATTGTTATTTTCATTATACATGTACATTAATTAACCAAATGTATAATACAGTCAAATCTCCCTAAGTGCACCCCCCCTGGGGACCGATCATAAACATGCATTTAAAAAGGGTGTGCATTTAGAGGAAATTATAATAATCAACCAATCAAATAGTGATTTCAATCAATACTGATCAGCCTGATGAATAATTTAGTGATATCATGATTTATAAAATATAATAAAACCAATTTTCTTTATTTAAAGTACTCATCTATATGAGTCTGATAAGCTGAACTAATTATTTTTTCTCTAATAAATTTTTCAAGAATATTAATTAATTTTAATTATTCATCTGAATTCTCTTGTTGAAGCAAAAACATTTGAACATATTCCAAATTTTTTAATGCTGAACTATCACTAATAATTGTAGCTTCAATGCTATCATCCTCCTCTTCATCCATTATTTCAATATTCTCCTCCATACTTTCATCCTTTTTGAATGTATATGCAAGCTCCCTAATAAGCTGATCATCCAGGAGAACTTCATAAACAAGATTCTTGTCATTAATAGTAAGGAACTCATTAATATTCATTGTATTAGAGAGATGAAGTACATCAAGTATACTAATAAGCTTATTAAGTATTGAATTATCAGTTCTATGAATATTATCCAAAAGATTACAAATATCTGTATTAGTGCTAACTGAGAGAATTCTTGTATGATGCTAACAATTATGTATGGTTTTAGCTGAAACTTCTTTCTAAGCCTCAATGATATACTGAATTACTTGAAGAATGTTCATTTTTAAATTTTGTATGAGATTGCCTACTTCAACTTGCTCTAATATCCACCTAGAAATTGAAAAAAAAATTAAAATAAATATTAATAATTATAAACAGCTAAAGGTCTGGATATATTAATAAATTACAAATAGTTATTTTTCATGGAAAATGTTAACAATTAATAAATTTCCTCATTTTGATCTCAATTATTGATAATAAATATATATACATATCACCTTTCATTCAAAAGATCCCCCAGATAATTATTATATTAGTCTCAATAATAACTTTAACCTTATTTATCCAATACTATGTATCCAACAATTCACTCACTCAAAAGTTGATAATCTATTTGCTTAAAACCATAATAAAATGATAATACAAATAGATAGAAAAAAATATTAACTGGAGATGAAAATGATGATAGGCTTTTTAAAAGCTATTATTATTTTCACATCCATAAGTTGTATTCTTAAAGTTATGTTTGGAGAAAAAAAATGGATATTTATATGTTAGAGAGTTAAATCTACTATAATATGACTAGAGTAATTATTAAGAAGTAAAAGAATGTGCTGGTCATTATGCTTTCATAAGATTTGGAAATCAAATTCATAAAGCCACTCTTGAAAAAGAATCATAAGCATTCAAGCCTTGATATTATTTCAATATATCATGAACAAATTCTTAAGATTTATATTTTTGAAATACCACAAGTTGGCATACTTGCTAATTATAAGAAGATTCAATTTGTGAAATTCATCAGCATTTGTACATAATGCTATAGAGAGATGCCTCTTATTTTTTTTACATCCAGCAAGACATCATGTTCTAAGATTTGATCTGGTTCCAATCTGTAATATGATTAAAAATTAATAAAAAAAATAATTAAAAAATAATTAAAAAAATCTACCAGTAAAAAAGTCCGGTTTCATCCATATTATAAATCTGATCAAGAGAATATCCAGTATATATATTCTGCAATAATAATAGAGATTTAACAACAATATTTTGGTCAACAGATAATGCTTCTTTATGAAGCTTTCTTTGACGAATTCTATTTCAGTTCTTAAATTTTTATAGTCACTCAGAAGAAAATTATAACTTACCTTCAGGAATTCCAAGTTTATTTGTTAATAATTTGGCTTTTTCAATTATAATAGCATCACTTAGAATGATTTAATACTAATAAATTAATATGAATTTCTTAATTGCTAGCTCAAGTTCTGGAATGATAATGGATTTATGATGCTTGGCTTCCAGACTATAACTTCATTAGAAAGTTATTTTTCTTTGATTTGAAAGATTTAAGTAATTATAAATTCATTAACTTTAACTCCCTATCTGTTTTCAATCTATTTTATATATTCAGATCAGATTCTTTTATTGTCATGCACATAGATATATAGCTTATATTTTTGAGTATCCATTAACATAATTTTTTTTAATATTACCAGACAAAAGAAAATTTATTACCTATTTTCTAAAATAATTAATTCTTTATTCTAAACTAAAGATGGTCACAAATGACTCCTTACCCACAAAAAATTTCTCCTCATGTACTAGAATTAGGTTATGACGTCAAAAAGTTAAGCATTACCAGAATATGAAAGAAAAAATCTTGCCAAGAAAATTTGATTCTTTAATTTATTAATTTTTTCATGTAATATATGATCTTGAAATTTTATTGGCCAACAATACTTAAAATTACATGATAGTGTATTTACAGAGATATTTTAAATTATATTTATTTAAAAATTTATTGCATATACAGAATATAGAGAGTGTGCATTTAGCACTATAGTACAAGCTTGAAATCAGATTTAAGGGTTTATTTATGCACTTATAGAATGTGCATTTAAAGAGATTTGACTGTATATGTATGTACATGTATTACATATATATTGGTTAACTATATATATAAGTAATTAGTATAAGAATACATATTAATTTTATTGGATATGTAATTTATACATCATTTTTTGAGAAATAAAAATTACATTTTTCTTAATTTATTAAAGTAAAAAACACATCTCAAATTATGTTATGAATCAGAAGTAAATTTATACAGAAAAATTTCATACATTTTATTAGTTTTATCTATCACTATGATATTAATATTGATAAAGACTATAATCAAGCCTTATATTATTATTTATAATAATAAAAATATTTAATTTGAGAATAATAATATGAACTGGATAAAAAAGATAAATAAAAGAAAATTGAGTGGTACATGAAAGTAGCAGAATCAGAACAAATTAAATCTTGATATTTACTTTCAAAATGGAAAGAAACAATCAGAATGAATAAAAAGCATTTGAGAGTACTTGAAAGAACAGAGTCAGAATATAATTTAATCTTGTTGCCTGTTATAACAAAGTAATAGGAACAATAAAAGAAAGATAAAAGATCTTTGAGTGTTACATGAAAGCATCAAGTATAATTTATCAGATTGGAATAGATAAATCAAGCTACAAAGTTAAGATACTAAAATAATCTTGCTATCTGTTATAAAAATGTAGATAGAATGATAAAAAATGAAAAAAATATTCAAGTAATCTTAATACACAAAGTAATTACTACCTAAACATAAAAATTATTCGAGTGATTTTACTACTTCATATATATCTAAGTGATTTGTTTGGAATATCATCCAGTATGCTTGTAAAGACTAATATATTTATCTGGTGTTTCATGAAAATGCATGACCATATTGATTAAAAGGAATATGACTACTTGAGATAATCCAAAATAACACTTCAATATTAAAAATTATTTTAATTTTTAATTTTATTTGAAATTTTTTATATTACTAAAAATGCTGGATTATGGTGGCAAAATTAACTTGAATGAATATGGAGTGCTAATTATTTTAGATTTATTGATTGCTATATATAAGTTGGTTCTTGATAAATTGCTTGAATATATTCAAAATCTTCTTTTAGGATACCAACTCAAATCAATGATTAAAAATTTTTCCTTGATTAATCAAGTCACATTTGAATATACTCTTTTACAAACTTGTAAATTTTGCACTAATATTACATGTTAAAATCTTGTTGCTATTTTCCAATCAAATGAATTTGTAAAGATTCAAGGAAATACATTAGTTCTTTGCTCAAACGGAATGATTTGAATCTTGAAAATTCTTGAATAGAGGACTGTTCTGCTTGATTTCAATTCTAAAAATATTGATTTTACAAGTTTTATAGAGAAATAAATACAAAATGAATTTGAATTTGCATTTAAATAATGTTTACTA